CTTTAACAGCAGATATGGTAGTTTTCACTTTATTCATTTTTAACTGGCTAGCCAAAAATTTACCTGATTTATTACTATGTTCAAAGTTTTCTAATCGTAGTCTTTGTGCTAAAAATGGTGTCTTTTTGTCAATAATTCCAAGAAGTTCTAATTTAGCTTATCGTAATTTGCTCATTTACCCCCAAATTCCACTACCTCCGCTCCGGTCCGCCCCCGCCTTCTGCAGCCGCTCGCTTCCGAACTCAATTTTTACTGCTACCTGCTCTACAACGGCTCCGCTCCGGTGCGCAGACCTGAGGTGGGCAAACAAGCATGCGCAGGATTTTCGAGATCTTGCAATACAGTCCAAGCAATAAACGCGGAAGTTAGATCCAAACACCCGTTGTGTGGGAGAAGCATCGGCATGAACTGTTTAATCTGCCCATCATTTGTGTTGAGAGATCAGCAGTGTTTGGATCAGCAAAGTGTGACTACTTTGATAGTAGAAACTGTATTTATGACTTACCTTTGTGCATTTAAACTTCAGTCACCATTGATAGTTGTTAAAAGTTGTTAAACCTGTGCATATGAAACAAAAAATGCATTTTGTTTATCGATTTATTGTGAAAAACGGAAGTTGTGCTTGCTCCTTTTCCTGTTGGGCAGTTGTGATTTCTGTCCATTTACTGCGGAGGTGCTCCGGCGTCCGGCGAAAATAGGATCGATTCTATTTTTGCCAGACGCCGGAATAGAGGGCGGCGCACGGCGCCGCGCTGCCGGAGCACGGCCGCAGTAGTGGAATTGCTCTGATTGACTACAACGGGACCGATTTTGCTCCGGAGTTCGTGTCGGAGCGGAGCGGAGCGGAGGTAGTGGAATTTGGGGGTAACTCTTCTTCTGTGGACGCCTCTAAAGACTTGATGATTTCTTCTAACTCCTGAATACGTTTGTTTTCTGTTTTTTTCTTATGTGATGAGAAAGAGATTATTTTACCTCTCATCACTGCCTTTCCTGCCTCCCAGAGAATAGATGCTGATGTTCCAGGCAGGTCATTATGTTCTAAATGTAAAGCCCACTCTTTAAAAAAAAACTCAATAAAACCTTCGCCTTTAAGCAGTGATGTATTAAACCTCCAGTTTTTGTTTGGTGGGATTGTCTTCTTGTTTACCAGAGTTAAAGAAACCGGAGCATGGTCGCTGACAGCTATGGGGTGTATCTCAGCGTCTGAAATGTCAGCCAACAATGAGCTGCTGACTAGAAAATAATCCAAACGTGAATGAGAGTGATGTACGTGTGAGAAAAAAGTATACTCTCTACGGTTAGGATGAAGAGATCGCCATGCATCACAAAGCCCATAATCACTCATGTACTGTTTAACTATGTTAGTGGATTGCCAATTGCGCTGAGTCCCAGCTGTACTGAGCCAGTCTGTTAAAGAGTTCATCCAAAAATTAAAATCACCTCCAAGTATAAGTGGACAGTCCAAGTGTTTGGAGAGTACAGAGAAAAAATTATGAAAGAATGGAGGGTCATCAATATTTGGACAGTATATGCTGACAATACATAATTTATTTATTTATTAATTTTTTTGCGTTGTCAGTGAGTAAATTAGGCGAAAATGTGTCTTAATTGTCTGTGGAAATTGATTAACAAGCTGCCATCTGCTTCTAACGCTGCCGTGTGTCCGGTGATTGGGCCATCAGCGCATGCTCTCCTCTTCCGTCGGAGAGTGTGAGCAGGATGGATCAGAGAGCGAGCAGCGATTTCTCATTTTAAAGAAAAACTTCACCAAACAAAATGCGAGAAAACAAATGAATCTTTTCGGGTTAAGCTCGGCTTTAGTAGATAATGTTCTTTTGGTTTCCATGGTTTTCTGAACAGGCTTATAAATATAAAGAATATAATTATAATTGTATTACACAGTAAAACGCTTCAGTATAATGAGCATTTTTTGGGTAAAACTTAATGGATGTGACCTGCTTTTTAACTGCTTGGCAACAACTACATCAGTTCAACATGAGATGAAATCAGATTTGTGGCCTGAAAATGATTTGAGTAACCCAGGGTGTTGAGCGCTGTCTGTTTTCTAATAATGCAGCTTTTTGTAGGGATCGATTTGAAACCACTGCACAACATTAGAGCACAATGATGAGAATGCATTACTGGCAGAGGACTGTATTAGAGAGCTCATGACATTGTCACAGGGGATCCTTAACCTCAGTAATGCATTTGAGGTAACCCATTCACCTTTATATATATATATATATATATATATACATATATATACATACATACATACATACATACATACACAGTGGGGCAAAAAAGTATTTAGTCAGCCACCGATGACAGAGGTCAGTAATTTACATCATAGGTACACTTCAACTGTGAGAGACAGAATGTGAAAAAAAATCCATGAATTCCCATGGCAAGATTTTTAAAGAATTTATTTGTTAATCAGGGTGGAAAATAAGTATTTGGTCACTTCAAACAAGGAAAATCTCTGGCTCTCACAGACCTG